AGACCCTTTTGCTGTACTCAGTAACTATTCATGGCTTATTTCCTGTTAAACAATACAAGGTTGAGAATAATCAAATAAACCATATTTTGTAGTCCCGGACACTGATAAGATTATAAAATTACGATTAAGCGATGGAGAACATTTTACTGAGCTGCACCAGTATTCAGGAGACCCGTATATTTTAAATATACAATTTTTGTTTTACTAAAATATGTGGATAAGGTCGCTTCCACTAAATCGCTCGCCCAAATTTTGGAGGACTTCTTGCTCTACTTCGCAAAGCAACGATCTCGATGGGTTGACATCGTCAACCAAGCCCAAATTTTAAGAAAATTTTTGTGAAAAGGCCCTGAAGGTATCAATTTAAAGTATTTTTGGACGCTGATTCCGAATCCCCCCACCCCATGACGTAGAGTAAAAATGCTTCCCTGGAAAGTTATGGGGAAAAAACTGTTTGGTCACATGACACGCTAGATCCGGAAAAGTCATTGTGGCACTCGGGTCCTTGGTATTGTCGTCGGTATATTGTCCATTACCTACGTTCTGCTTTCATAGTTTAAACAATAGTGAGTTCTAAACATAAATATAACAGCTTTAAACTTGTAGCGCGATGCACTACTGGGTCGCGCGCGCATCAAATAATCCTTCTCGCAACCACACCTTAAGCAGATCGGCGAGATGCGAAGGATTGACATCGTCAATCAACTTTAAACCGACTAAGTATGAATGAATGAAATACCTGACAACCTACACTCCTATAAAAATTAAAAAAGCAAGCATGAGTAACTCGTAGTGATGTATGATCTCTAAAAACTTTAAATTAAATTTGGCGCTCACAGGTCCTCATGATCATGTGATCGCCGCATGAGGTTCTGTAAATGCACAGGGCACCTTCGAGCTTATATTATTCACCTTACTGAGGCAGTCAACCAACGCGCGGCTTTATTTTTATGGTATGATATGTTTTGATTGTTATTAATAAATACCAAAATTTAAATTTGTTTTCCTTGTTTTCCTAAAAACGATTTGATTGTTTAGGGCTTGGGTTCGAGCGTGCTAAATCACTCTACAGTCGATCTTCGAGATTGTTCTAAAAGGGCCCCCGACGGTTGTAACCAACTTCAATCGATGTATTTTCGGACGCTGATTCCGAATCACCCCCCATGACATAGGGTTAAAATGCTCCCCTGACGAGATATTGGCGAAAAACTGTCTCGATCACGTGATATGACCGTATAAGGAAGTTAGTCTAATTTCTCGTTAGGGTTAGAGTTTCAGCATATGTTTTTGTTAAGGATTGGGTTAGGGTTAGGGTTGGGATCAGATTAAAGGGTAAGGGTTTCGAAAAGTCGTTCAGAACCAGCTAGAGAACGGGTTGAAAAAGTCACGTGACAGTCGAGTGTAGAGTGATTAATCATCATCCGCTTGGGTTATTAAAGGATTTGAGTTGTGGTTAGGATTATGGATAGCTTTGGGTTTATGGTTAGGGCTAGGGTTGCTTGGGATAAGGGTTTATGTAAAACCGTTTTGTTCGACTGCAAAACCATAAAAACTTAAGTCCCGTGATGATTTTTGGGCGAGCGAATTAGTAAAATTTTATCATACGTTGTTTGACCCGCCGCGCACGAGTGCGCGGCTCCCCTGTATCGTAGAAACTCTATGGTGAAACGACGATGGGGGTTGACGGATGTTACTCGTCTAAATTTCTTCGAAGTAGCGCGCGTCGCTTTCTTCTCGAAATGTCACTTGCCCGACGGCAAGTGCTACGAAGTAGCGCGCGCCGGGCCAGATCATTAACAATGGTCAACGATGGGGGCCAAATCATTTAAAACGTTTCTCGACTTTGTAGGTTTACAACCTACCAGAACGCGCGCCAAGTTGGACTTGTCGACGGTATATATGGAACAAATATTTTACGAGTATCACCCGTTAATCTCGACTCAAAAACTGTTATAATTTTTACAAAGTTTTGAAAACCTCATTTAGAGTATTGTGTTTGATTGTGGAGTCCAGTTGCGGCTCATGGAAGTTGGGGGATCATTTTGGAGCTGTAGAGCATCCAAAGGCGGTTTACCCGTCTGATTGACGAGGTGGGTACTCTTCCATACAGTCGTCGACTAGGAAATCCTTTATTTAACAACGCTGGCATGGAGCGGCGAATACGTGGGGACCTCATTGAATTTTTTAAATGATAAGTGGTTTGGCCAATTACGGAGCTGATTTGTTCAGTATGAGCAGATCGGGTCTTGATGTGATATCAAACAGTAGATGCAGTAAAAGTAGCAGTAAAATGAAGAAAGTCCGCAATTCTTTTATTCCGGAGAGGGTGAGACCATATTGGAACAAACTCCCCTCGGATGTCAAGAATTGTGGGACGGACAGTGTTAAGTTTTAAAATAAGAAGTAAAACAAAATTTTAATTAAAACAAAATTTTTTTGATTAGAGGCTTTAAAAAAAAGACTATTTCAAACGGATCTGTAAATGATAGTATTTTTGGTATGTTTTTTGGTATGTTTCGAACGAAGTATTAGGAAAGATTGAGGTATTAAATTATGCTACTAATAAAGAGATAGATAAGAAGCACAATGAATATCTTATGTGTAATCCTCATGTTCATGTTGCTAAAAACGCTTTACCAACTTATATAGTAGTGGAAAGTAAGTAAATTAGATTCATTTTTAACTTGGCTGTTTAGGCCAATAGATTTTAGTTAATCTTTAAACTTTAGTAGATATATTTTTGATGATGTGTGATGATGTTTGTGTCATTATATTTTGATTTGATTTGATTTAAAATTTAAGAACGCTTTGTAATTTTTTTGAAAATATTACTATAGATTTCATATTTTTATGGATTATACTATAGAATGAAATGTTGAGATGCATTTGCGCGTTTTTATAAATTCACTATTTGGTTGACAATGCAATGTTAACCCATTGAGATTTACAATGCAAAGCAAATTGCAGGTTTATAACCTACCAAAACGCGCGCTGTGTTGGACTCGTCGACGGTCTTAGTAAGTAAGTAAGTAAAGATTATGACATAACATCATCACAAGTGTCTACAAAATATCATTGCACTAAATACAAAAATAATTTAAATAAATATATTTTTCCATCAACATTAATAATTTATCAAATTCAATTTTATTAATTAATAAAATCTAATACATTATCTATAAATAATTCATTAATACTTCCCAGTGGAATAAAGATTTATGAAACGCTTCTTTGCCACAAAAGGATGAGACCAAAGATATTCATTATGTGTCTCCTTATTGCTTAAATAACTGGGTCCTTCAATTTTCCCTAAAACTTCATTCGAAACATTCCAAAAATAAAAATCATTTACACTGTTTTTAGAAATCATTTCTTTCTTAAATCCTTCCAATCTAACTTTAAAGCTTAAAACTGTCGAGCAGTTCTTGACATCTGAAGGGAGTTTGTTCCAGTAAGGAATGACTCGCTCCGGAAGAAAAGAAGACTGGAGATTCTTAACTTTAGTTACACTCTTATTACACCTATTGGTTGAAACTAGATTAAGACCAGATCTGCTCATTCTGAACAAACCCGATCCATATTCAGTCAAACCACTAGTTACTTTAAAAGCTTCGATAAGGTCCCCACGTATTCGCCGCTCTGCCAGCGTTGTCAAATTGAGGATATCCAGTCTGCAGCTGTATGGAAGAGTACCCACCTCATCAATAAGACGGGTAAACCGCCTCTGGACGCTCTCCAGCTCCAAAACAGTCCCCCAACTTCCATGAGCCGCAACTGGATTCCACAATTGGACACAATACTCAAGATGAGGTCTTAGAGAAACAAATTTTAGAGAAACAAATTTGAATTTTGATCTTTATTACAGATTAAACATATCATATATAACCATAAAAGCCGCGCGTCGGCTGATTGCTTCAACTTGGATTGGTAGTAATTTCAGTTTACAGAAGCTGAAGGACGGCAGCTCAAAAGCCCCAGTGAACCATCGGAAAGATCAAGGACTCGAGTGCCAATAGTGGCTTTTTCGAACCCATTTTCGCCGATTTGCTGTGGCCCAGATGAGCCGCGCCCTGCTGCTTAACGGCACATGGTGGTTTTTGTTTAAATACTTATTTAAATTTAAGCGATAATTCATTTGGTGGTTTACAGTTTTTTGAATCATGTTCATCATTTATTTTTCGTTCAATTATCACGTTTTTACAATTCAGTCATACCATGTATAGTCAGCATTGTTGAGGCAACCAGCTTCCGCAGTTCAATAATTGGAGACCGAAAAATATAAATTGATCGAAATTTACAATTCATCGTTATCAAATATAGTCAATAATATTCTTGATTCCATTTAGTACATAATAAGTTGGTTTTATTCTCTTGCAACACTACTGCACAACAAAAACTGCGCCTGTCCACCAGCAACAGCGCAGTCATAGGTGTGCAGCCAAAGCTAGGCCACACACCCATGGCCGCGCCGGTTAAACAACTCTATATTCAATCGTTATATTAGGAAATTTTAGTTAATTCTTTGATCACTCTTCAGTGCCGGTGGGCAGGCGCCCCGCATAGTTGGCTTTCCAAATTTACAGTCTCAAGAAAGCCGATACGGTAATCGAGTCCCGGAGCAGAACACACATTTAGAAAATTGAAAAATTAAAATTAAAATTAAAATAACAAATTAGAAATTAAAAATTAAAAATTACATGACTACGAGAGTCCAGACAGGCGACAAACACACAAACCGGACGAAGAGAGGACCCACTGCTGAATTCGACATATAATGAATTGTTGAAAACATAATGATTCCTACACTAATATGATCTTGAGGCATGCCCTGCATGTACTGTGCGAGTACATTGTAAATAATATCTGATAAGATGGGCCAAAAATAGCGGCACAGCGCGCAAAATGCGCGGCGTGACCGCCGAAATTTTATACTTTAGACATTAACATTTCAATCGGCTTTAGCGCTCAGCATATCTTCATTGAGTAGACATTAGAATTTCAGTTCGTTGGAATCGAAGTTCAGTTCACACCAATCTATTTCGTCGTACCTGGACTGCATGCCGAGTAACTCCTTTTTTATTGTGGATTTCACAAGGTTCGTTGATGTAGAGAAGTTGATATTGCTAGCAGTGTTTCTACAATCGTTCCACATTTTTGTCGATTGATATATGAAGGAGGTGGATGGGGTTGGAGTGATGAATCGATCAGCACGTCTTGATGATCTGTTAAATAGATTTAGGAGTGGGACTGGGGATTCTAATTTATTGATTTTGAACATTTCCAATAAACATGTGTGTTTGAACAAACTGTGTATGGTTAGTAAACCATTTTTCTTAAATAGCGGTTTTGTGTGCTGTTTTTCATAGAAGTCGCTTCCTAATTTTTGCTTGTCTTTACTTCGTGTTCTAGCACAAGTTCTAAACTTTTCTAAGTACGCCTCTCGGTTACCAAATAGTATTCTAACACATTTCTTCTGAGTGATAAATATTGGTTCAAGCCTGTTGTTACTAAGGCCACCCCATACTGATATCCCAAATCGCAAGTGTGATTCAAATAGTGTGTAGTACAGTTCTTTGTAGAGTTTTTCTGGAATAATGTGCCGTATTCTACAAATTTTCCCACTTTCACATTTCAGCTTTGTGTTGAGCGACCGTATATGAGCATCCCATTTAAGCTGATCATCAATAATAACACCAAGAAACTTCACCTTTTTGACTTGCTTTATTACTACATTGTTTAGAGTAAGTACGTGTTCTTCTTCATTATGTTCTACCTTGCTTTTTCTATTCGTTGGTTTAAAGTGAATGTAACAGCATTTCTTAATGTTAATATGCAGGAGATTACATTTCATATACAGTTGTACCAGTTTGAGAATTTGGTTTGCTCGTTCATATAACTTTATCTTACATTCATCCGCGACAAATATATTTGTATCGTCAGCAAATAGAATGAACTTGCCTAGTTCAGTTGCCCTATATAGGTCGTTGATATAAATAATAAATAGTAACGGACCAAGACAAGATCCCTGGGGTACTCCAAAGAGAACTGGAAGCTTGTCAGACTCTTCTCCTAGGACCGAGACGTATTGATATCTATTAGAGAGATAACTAGCAATGAGTTTGTTGGCATTGCCTCGAATTCCGTAATTATCTAGCTTACTCAGTAATTTGTCAGCTGAGATGGTATCGAATGCTTTGCTTAGATCAATGAATATTCCGAGCACGTGCTGCTTTTTATTAAGGCATGATTCTATATAATTCACTGAGAAATTCAGGGCATGACTAGTAGAGTGATTTTTACGGAATCCATACTGATTTTCATAGATCATATTTTGTGACTGGAAAAAGCTGTATAGCCTACTATATATAATTTTCTCGAATAACTTACCAAATACGGCTAAGGTAGAGACTGGTCTATAGTTTTCAAGTAATTCTTCATTTTCTTTCTTGTATATGGGACTGATCCTGCCAATCTTTAAATCGTCCGGGAATATTCCCTCCTTCAAACATTCATTGTATAGTACAGATAATAGGGGGGCGATAATTCTGGATGACGCTTTTACAACATGTATTGGGATATCAGACGATTTGCCATTTTTCAATTCTGATATTATTTTACATACTTCATCGATTGTACAATCATGCATGTAAATACTGGTCGTGTTGGATTTTGGTAGGTAGTCATAGATACTGGGGATGCCATTAATTAATAGTTCGCCGATTTCATTGTATGCCTCGTTAAGATTAGAAGCTAGGGAGACAAAGTACTTATTAAACTCATTAGCTATTACCCTACGATTAGTAATTTTTTCATTATTGATAGTAAATAGAGGTTTGGTTTGTCGTTTTCGTTTACCCCGTATTTGGTTAATTAATTCCCACGTCTTTTTACTGTTTCCGTGCAACTCTGCAAATTTTCCACCATAGAACTTAGATTGAGCATTGCGGCGATCTTTTTTGACCTTCCGCCTGCAGTCACTGTATTTTTTATACTTGTCACGTTTTGAGCAACATATTGGGCATTGGCATGTCCCCCCTTTATTTTCAATTTCCCCAAATTTACATTTAACTTTTCTGACCTTTACCCATTTATCGTAAAGTTCGTGCTGATATGAAATTTTGCCCACAAGGTCTGGTGTAATCCATGGGTTGTTCAGTGCTGTTCTTTTAGAGCATTTAGGGGTTTCTAACTTACAAGTTCTATCTATACAGTCCTTAAATATGTCGTGAAATGTTGTAAAATTGTCGATAACATTATTATTGAGATCATGTTCCAGAGTCTGTAAAAAAGCTTTTACATTCGGTTTGTTGTAATCATAATACTGTTTGTATTTCAGGTCAATTCTGCTAGAGTCCAAGTTTCTATCAAAGATTTGGAAGATGGGTGAGTGGTGTGATATACGGTCAGTCAGTATTCCAGAAGCTACTATACTCTCTACGTCGTTAGTTATTATGTTATCAATACAGGATGCTTTGCAGCCTGGTTTCTCATGTGTTGCTAACGAAATTAGGGGGAAAATCCTTTACTTAATAGTATTTCTTCATAGCGTTGTACGATTGTGCTATTCTTATCGTGTAAATCAATGTTAAAATCACCCGCTAGGTAACTACACTTGGGGAGACTGTCAAGGATGTCAGAGAGTTCAGATAGTGCAACATTGACATTACCACTTGGAGGACGGTACATTACACCAACTGTTACTGGGGAAGTTGTACTACTTACGGCCACAAAAAGAGTTTCTAAATGTTCAGTGATATGGGATACATTGCCGTTTACTCTGGCACTAAGAGTGTCACAAACATAGAGAGCCACTCCAGTGCCCTTTTTTTTATCTGGTATTGTGTTTTGGTAGAAACTGTTGTATCCAGTTAATTGATACAAACTGCTGGATTCAGGACCTTCATTTGTTTCCGCTAGGGCTATGATCGAGAATTTCTTGGTGAGCCTATGGGATTCAATAGCGAAAGTGTCGAAATTTGACTTATTGCCGTCGATGTTTTGGAAGAGAAGCGATGAAAATTCATTCATTTGATTATCTAGTGCTTTGTTGAATTCCTTGACATTGTACGATACGCAGTTATTTAGTATTTGATCTACTTTTATGATAGTGTCATCCACTTCACTACTTTCAATATCACTTAAATTAGTGCATGCAAGTCGAAATGGATTGTAACGAATAACTGCTAAATGTACGCACTTGGGACAGTAAAAATCGTCAGATAATGTGTCATTGTTAATGGATTTGGTATAGCACTTATGGTGCATTGGGCAGTCGCATTCACAGCATTCAACAATGAATTGTCCTACGTTAATGAACTTCGCACAGACTAGGCATACCTCTTTACTCAGGGGAGTCAGAATGGCTGGTAACCATCCTGGTGTCGAGACTCAGCAGCAGTAGTAGAACCCGTCCCACTCAACACGTTCCGATATGAGCGTCCATCAACCTCGTCTGTTCTCCTTTTCCTTCTATCAACTCCTCCATTCATTCTAAGAAGCACTGTGTTACGAATCAAAGTGCCTAGTTTAGCTGTACCCCTCCAGTTAAGGTGGAGATAATCTGGTCGCTGGTCTCGGCCGATGTTTCTGGAGAACTGTTGGCTAAGAAGCCCAGCATCATCACAGAACCCACCGAACCCATCAACGTAAGTCACACCAAAATTTGAAGGGATCAGCTCTGTCAGAATAAGGCGGTTAAAGCAAACAACTTTTCTATTCAGTTCAGCAAGCTTTGTAGGCAGGGCTGGACAAACATATACATGTGCCTTAGGGTTAATAGCATGAATTTTCTCAATCTTTTTAATAAAGGGAATAAATACATTTCGTTTAATATCAGCTGTATTCTTGATCTCAGGTTTTTTAAGATCATTAATCGCACACATCAAAACAACGTTACGATAACCACATGTGACATATGGGTCAATCTGGTCAACCACTGGTGCAAAATATTGCCTCCCAGGGAACCATTGTCCAAACGATTTCCTGGCATCTGACCCAAACTTAAGCCCCCCTGTATGACTGTCTCCTATGATGCACGTAGAGTTCTTGTTCCTGAAGCTAACTGAACGAAAAGTTAGGCTGTATCTGACCCCACCAGTTATTGCCCCATCCATGATACAGTGGCTGTAATACTCTTGGCTACTTCGTGTCATGCGATACATGGATCTTGGAACACATGGGTGGTCAAGGACTATATCATCCGTCTTCTTGTCAAAGAATTTGATGCTGCACTGGCCTCCGATGGACACAGTGAAAATTTCGGATTCGGGGTGGATGGTGGCTTCATCATCCGAATGTTTTGGTAGGGAGCCATCCTCTTTGAAGCGGTTGATCAGCAGACTATTGATCTTCGGTTTCTCACCACTACAGAATGCCCCATTGATTTTGTCCATCAGTTTGGAGAAGCTGGTTGACTCTAGCTGACCATTGGGTGACTTGGAGCCATTATACTTGTATGGTTCTCCCAGAGAATACACAGCACGAGCTCCTTCCACAACAAAATCCTCGTCAAGTGATTGACAGGCAAGGAGGAGAAGATCCTGCTCTTCTGTGGTGATGAACTCTTCTATAGCGCCTACAACTGGTTCTTCTCTTGATTTGAGATGCTCATTAGCTGTTAGGTCTGGGCCAGGGGCAAGTGAAGAATTGGTAAGTTGGGCATTTAAATGGTCAGAAGAAGCCAAAGAATTTTGCTCAAGAGTGTTCAAAGACTGTCTAATGGCTGTTAGCTCCTGATTCGTCTCCAGAGACTGCTTGGAATTTAGCTCCTGCAGATTCTTCTCTATTTTTTCCATGAGATCGTTGGTCTTGGAGGAAGATTGAGCACTTACTTGAGGAGTAGAAAAGTCCTGCAGTTGCTTGTTCAACACTTTAATCTGTTCTGTTAGGCCACTATCAGACTCAGAAACCTTTCCGAGTGTAGAGTCAACTGAAGTTTTCAGCTGCTTTAGATCTCCTTCCATCACTTCAACCCATGCTGGAGCAGTGCCCTTGTCACTTACCAGTAGGTGCTTGATATGGGGGTCAAGGTTCTGGATGGGGGTCAAGGTTCTGGATGGCAGCAATCTTATCAAAGCTTTATAAATAGCTATCATCATCATAGCGTCTTGGAACAAATATTTTACGAATATCGCCTGTTAAAAAGCAAAGCAACGATATAAAATGCAGATGCAAAGCAAAAATGATGTGGATGATGCGGAACAATACCAAAAAATAAAAAGTCCAAAGTTGATGACAGACGTTTCTCAAGTCATGCAACAGTTGCATTTATATAATCAGTTTTGACGTTTTTTTCCATTGTCTTCACTTTGCAAAACACCTTAGCCTTTATTATTTACCGTACTCCATTTTATGTCTTAATCTCTAACTTTTTAGGATTTGTTTCTTTCTTGATTGATTATGTCACTGTACTTACTTTTATTATACCTACATTTATTGTATGGTTGTTGCTTCTATTTAGTTTAGTGTGGTTTACAATAAAAGATGTTTTTATTTTGTCTTTGCCTTATGAATGATGAGTTATACTTTTGTTCACTTTTACACATTCGCTCACATCACTCACAGTCAACCGCTCTGGCATGGTTAACCACCTTCCTCGTGTTGTTGGTTAATCATATGAGCGGGATATAAATACCTCATTTCATTTCAGTGAATAATGCTATAGGACCTCAAAATAAAATTAAACCCAACAAATTCAATTTGTTTTATTTAACTAGCATAATATAACATTTCTAAATTATTATTTCAGAATTACAGCTATTCTGTACTCAATAAAGTAATTATCACTTTTGTATCCTTGTATTCTTGTATCCTTAGGCTTTATTATGCTTTATTAAGGTTTTGGATGACACGTTTGCTCCCTAGATTCAGCTTGGTATGTTATTGCCCACTTTGAGAGACAGCTAATGATTAATTACAATTAAATTGATATCATATATGCGCTACAAATTCAATAAATTTGTATCTATCAAGATTTAATAGTATTTGGCTTAGTTTGTCTTGGTCCAATCTCCCTGATTCAGTCTGGTAACTATTGTTGACTTGACCAAGTGTTTGATGAATTGTAAATTTCGATCAATTCAAATTTATTCGGTCTCCAACAGTTCAACTGTGGAAGCTGGTTGTTCAACACTGATGACTCTGGTATGACTGAATTGTCAGGCCGTAATTATTAAACGAAAAAGAAACATGAAAATATAATTTATAAACCATCAACTGAATTATCGTTTAAATTAATAAGTATTAAAACAAAAACCATCATGTGCCGTTTAGCAGTAGGACGCGGCTCACTAGGACCACTGAGCAAATCGGCGAAAATGGGATCGGAAAAGCCATTATCGGAACTCGAGTCCTTGATCTTGTCGATGGTGCACTGGGCCTTTTGAACTGACGTCCTTCAGCTTCTGTCAACTGAAATTACTATTTGTATTAATCCAAGTTGATGTAATCAGCCGACGCGCGGCTTTTATGGTTATCTATGATATGTATAATCTGTAATAAAGATCAAAATTCAAATTTGTATTCTTAAAATTTGTATTCTTATAAATGACCGGTTTGTGTGTTGTACAAATTGTTGTTTTCTTGAGTTATTCAAAGCAGTAACTTCAGTTTTAAATTATTTTAGGATCGATTGTGCACCTTAATCTATTGGTATTATGTGTAATTTATTTTTTATGAATAATAATTCTGTAAAAAATTATTGATCTGTCACATGGTGATAATAAACATTGATACATAGGCCATAATCTTTCGCTGACACTTCAATAATTAAAAAAAAAACTTAAATTGTATTTTACTTAATAAATCGTATAAACTTTCGAGTTGCATTTTATGTCCTCGAATTATTACACAACATTAATTAAAGCATATAGTGTAGACAATCTGTCACAAAAATACTGGAATCCATAGCAATAACTCTTAGCAACAATCACAATCGTTATCTGGTCCAAATATGAGCCTTGTCTTCAAAAATCGTTTGAAATGATCACAAATTGTAACCTGCTTTAATATCAGGAGAGAATTAAGTGCTAAATTTGGATCTTTGTACCAATTAACTGCTTAGTGATGAAAATGTAGTAATTGATTAAAATCTTCTTCAATTTTTACTTTTTCTCAGAATGTAAATTGTAATAGATTACATGTTATTATATTACCATTCGATTCCTTTTAATGCACACTCCACTCAGTCATGACAAGATTTTCTGTCCAAGCAGCGGAGCCAGAGATAGAACTTGCCAGTATAATCCCTACTTTTGATCCCAACGCAGATACTGCTGTTGCAAAATCAACAGGTTCCGAACCCATCACCACAACTGCTGAAATCAATGAACATCCTGTGACACCTGTTACGCTGAGAATACCCAAATCAGCCATAGCCAACAGTTCTTTCAAGGACGATGACATTTCTCCTAAAGAAGTGCGATTCAATTTTGCAGCCAAAAGAGATTCAATCCAAGGTGAGTGTAAATTTAACATTTAATTCAGTGTGTTAACATAAATAAGCTTATTTCGTATCAAGCGTTTCACTTAATCAAAAATCATTTGCTTTATCACCGAAATAGACAAATAGTCCTTAGAATTTGAAAATTTTCTGAACAAATATGATTTTGCTCCTTATTTATCAACCGACAGCAACTCTTCTTTTCATATCTCATACTAATGATATGATGAAACGCTATCTTGTAGAGTTTAAAACTATTGAAATTATCTGATCACTGGTGGAAACTAAACTGGCTGTATGTTTCCCTTCTGAAGCAGCATCCGCTAATAAAATGTAAACAGTTGTGCATAAAAAAACATTGGAATGTGGAAACCTGAATCTGGCTAAAACTTCTTGTTGTGATTTAGCTACAATATATTTAACCCAAGTTACAATATCTGAATTACTAAATAAATAAACAAGGTATACAGTTAGTAGTCCACAATACTACCTCACCTGTCCCATACTGCTCACGTGTAGTAAAGTAATAAGATTGAATGGACGTGACGTGTAGATTTAACGTATTGGAGAGTACCACTTACACGTACGTAATCAGAATCAGTAACAACATATTTGTGGGTTATTTATTGGATCAAAGAGGACTGGCAATGATATTTCAAAAACCTGAAACCTAAGATTATGAACTGAACTAGTAAATGAATAATTCCCTTATCTCTTTCCCTAAATTTTGAGCCGGACAGGCTTGATTGGATTATTAATCAGGTTTGCGAGGTTTTTATAAATCTATGACCCATGCAACTTGCACCTGCTTTCACCTTGTTGTGAATAATGGACTCTCTTTTCGTTTTCATCAGCTGTCTTGCATGGTTAAATTTGTCCGCTATTTCTGCCCAAGACTTGGCATCAACTAGCCTCACAACTTCACCAGGATACCTACGTCTTCGACGAGGGGATGCCACTAAAACACATTCCTGTGACAAAGTAAGAAAAGTACCCAAGTTGCTGAGAAAGGATTCCAACATGGGACTAAGTGATTACTACCAGAAGTACACAGAAGCATACAACATCCCCATCATATCCTCCAACAACGTTCCTGACGAAGCACTAAAGAGAGCGTGTTATGTAATGAGGTTCCTAGCTGCAGATCACGCCGGGATCAGAAGAGCGTTCTACAAAAACTGGGGCCGTGTCGGAGTAATAGCTACCTCGGAGCAGGTCACCTCAATACCTGAACACAGTCACCTGGATCCCACCTATTGGAACGCCAGAGCAAGAGGTTTGGGAGGCACTAAATCAACTCCCATTTCCACAGCTCCGGAGGAGAACATTCTCTGTTACTCCTCTGATAGGTGGTATCCCAACCAGGACATCATGGTCCACGAGCTCAACCACGGAATTCATCTTCTAGGAACTGCTGACGCGATACAAGACTGGGACAAGAAATTGAAGGACTTGTACTACAGGCGGGAGGAAGAGAATGATAGATGGACTAACACGTACTCCATGTCCACATACCTGGAGCTGTTTTCCGAGGGTGCACAAAGTTATTTCAACGTTAACAGTTACTCACCATACGCTAACGGAAGAGAGGGTCCTACAAACACTCGTCAAAAGCTTAAAGAGTACGATCTCCCTCTCTACTCTCTGATAAAACAAGTGTTTCCCTGTGGCAACACAATTTTAGACCGGTGTAATACCACAAGGGAGCTGGAGAATGCTCAGGTTCTCAAGATGGACTGTGAGTATGTGCCAGTCCAGGGGGTGACAGATGAGGATTTCGAACCTATAGAGATAGATGAGGACTGTTTCGACGATGATGAGTATTGTAAATCGTGGTCTAATCTGGGATATTGTACAGGGAGTTATGAAGCTTACATGACTCGTAATTGTATCAAAAGTTGTGATTTGTGTGTTACTAAAGAGGAACCTACAGAGGGGGATCTGGACTGTTTTGACTCTGATGTAATAAATTGTCCACTTTGGGCCAGCCAGAGCTATTGTACTAACAGTATTTATGAAAGTTTTATGACTAATAATTGTACTAAAAGTTGTGGTCGGTGCATGCCCCCTCCTAATATAGCAATCTGACTGAGACATGGTTTACCTGTTAATGCACTACAAAGACTCATTTTTGTAATATTTTATCTTAAAATAATCAACTTTTTGGCTCTAAAATAAATAGATATTTAAAAATCATGGAATTGGAAATGTATTGATTTTATTCGATCTACAATGTTTCTTTAGCTATCTCTAAATACGATACAAATGTCTACTTTGTTATTAAGTTCACAGAGCTAGGAAACTACAACACAGATCTGATAACAGGCATGTTGACGTCACGATATCTCAAGTATTTTTCACAATATGCCGTCTGTAATGCAATGACATCACTGCCAATAACCACACCATTGGTTCCCATATCACGTGACTAGAATACCTGCCCTCACTGGCTCACTGGCTGGTTCCTCCTCTAGTGTCTACTTGCAGCTTGGTAATTACTGTATTAATAGTTTCCGTGTACTGCCCACTGCATACACCTAGCAGCCCCAAACACTGTCCACATCTGAACTCCTCCTCCACTAGAGTCAAGGTAACATCTGTTTCAATAAGTATCCGGTGCTAAGGAAGAAGCCCGTGACAGTTCTAGAGATACTTAATTGAGCTATTAGCCCAATTAGGAACTATTAATTAAACACTTTTGAACGGTGGTTTCAATACTTTTCATCATATTATCCTGATCTGGAGTAAAGACTTAAAGAGGCTTAGAGGCATGCTACATTAGAGGCATGCTACATTGCTACAAGAATGTAAATCTGAATAGAGGAATGAGGCTAACACTGTTCATGGATCCTATTATATTTATAATCCTAAATCTAAATTCCCGAGACCTGAAATTGACAGTTATTCGAAAAATACCGTTCATACCAGGTCACTTAAAACTAAAATATTCTACGGCTTCCTTATATTTAATATTGTGATTGTGGAGCTTCCTTAATACTTTAATAACCCGTATCCGACCTGATCAATGGAAATTTTCTATGGTAAAAGTAACATGCTCGCAGGAGTTATTTGTAGATTTAGTGCCCGGTACTATACCTGAATCTCTTATCAGTGCTGAAGGTACATTAAGTAGCCCTCTAGTGTACATACACGGCTTGTGTACTGTGTAATTGGTCTCTCTCTAATTGGGGGATTTACATCATCCCTACAATAGGTTCAATTATCATGATCCCGGCCGACCACGGAGCTTGATTCGCGTGACAAGTAACATGTTTATACCATATATCGGCATGTATTGAATATCTTTAATAATAGACCAAGCATAAGGTTACGACGCTCTTTAAGCTTGTATTTATTAAAAGTTAACATTCAAATCGTTCTGCGATGTTTTATGTGACAATCAAGGAACACCAGTTGAATAGTTGGATTTCAGTTTTTAAGCCACATATTATGAAACTTGGAAATATTTGAAACATTTTTCAGATTTTCTCATAGTGTGGTACAGTATCGTGGAAGAGGGTGCTCTATTTTTGCATTTTTGTCCCAGTTTAATGCTACCTGCCCCCTGGGTTTATAAAATTAGGCCCCACACGGGACCCTACATTTTTACTGTGCATGTGAGAACTAGATTCCCTGAACATCCAGTATTAAGTGGTTTTCATCAGATCAAGTTACATTAAACAATGAAATCTTATCGCTCAAATTCCTGATTCCTTCCTTGGTTCATGGACTGCAAATTCTCGTTAATTATGGTTCAATGCCAGGTCAAAGTTGTTTTCACCAAAGAATTCAGCATTCATGTGTTTTGGGTACGAACTTAAATGTTTAACTGCCAAATACGGCAAATCTAATTTTATGCTGTTAAAAAGTGTTTTTTTAACAGCAGAAAGTGGAATTTCTGCAATCCACTAATTCAAATTTCATAAAATATCTCCATTGATTCTAGTTTTATTATTAATAACTGATTTTACGGGAATCAATGTAATCATAATAATATTCAATTGTATAATCATACCTGATTAACACAGTGGCCACAATGTCTGAAGATTTAGACAATATTATCTAGTGGCGCGGGTTCCTGCTAGGGTGCTGAAATTAACCGGATAATAAAATTTGTCCGTCTTACCCAACAATTGCCCCCAAATCTTATCACTAATGTTATAATATCTAAGCGTACTCGGCGACGTAATATTAAATTTCATCCCTCTGATTTAATTACGAGAATTGAAGAAATTTACACGATAAGAACTGTAAATAATGAATTTTCAAATCGATCTCATACTAGGGAAACCCCGTTTTTCAAGGTTCACAATGATTTGATACCCTAATCAGTAATCACTCAGAGATTATAAAATCAGTTGGGTACTAAACAACTGATGAAAGAGGACTTTATTCCCGGGCATATTACATGGACTCCGAATTTTTATTCCAGAGTGAATTACGTAATTACGGTCCTCATGATCGATTATACCAGATACACTGACACAGGCCACGATTTATAAGTTTTATCGTCGGGTATTATTACTGAGTTACTTAAATCATTTTATTCGCAGTCACAAACATGACAAATGTATTACAGTGTAAAATAATATTCAATATTGTTGCACAATAAATGTTAGTAATATAATGAAAATGAGCCGTGCTACATCTTAAATTCATTAATTTAAAATCACGTGACCGCATTTTAAATACTCGGTGGTCCTGGCTCCTGGGTGGTTATTAATAGCACATTACTAAATAAGTAGATAAACTCATTTGTAACTGAGTGTGGATTTATAAAATTTCAAGGCAACCATTAATGGTGGATTTATGTAAGATTTATCATATTAATATAATGTTATTCTTTGGAATAAATTTTAAATAATTTCAGTACCGGATACTCAAAATAGCAAGCCAAAGAGCAGTGAAAGAACGAACTTACTAGATGTTGAAAATGGGGACTCAGATGCAGATCAAGATTTATATCTTTATCAGGTATGATAACGGGCACTAAGATTTATACATTCCTATATCAGGTATATTTACATTGCTTGAAATTCAATGATCATCAAGTTATTATTAGCTTAACTATTCATCTGGTTAAGTATGAAAATTATTAAATTTGTGAATTAGCCACGTTCCACGGATCACACGTTAGGGAAGTGTAAGTTCCGTAGCTAAATTATCTAAAATAACCTTCTTAAGGGGGCCGGGGGGGGGTCTTCATCAAAATTCTCTCGAAATTGACTTTGTAGTTGTTTCTGATGGAGGGGAGTGATATCTATCAGCTGTTTTTGGTCCCATGGAAAAATATTGTTCCTAGCCGAAAATATTGCCGGTCAAAGGTCAGCGCTTATGTGTAATTGTATTGCGCGAGCGATTTTCAATCGCGCGCCCTGAAAATCGAGTCTAAAAATCTATCTTCTCCTACATTTTTTGAGCAATCACCCTGAAACTTTCATGATATGTTCTAAGGACCATTTAGAAGAGATTGTTGGGCCAGAATTTTGAGATAGGCCTTAGAAATTTTTTTATTCGATTTTGAAAATCTTGGACCTCGTATTTTGACGATTTTTTCAGGTCCAAGATTTTCAAAATCGAATAAAAAATGTTCTAAGGCCTATCTCAAAATTCTGGCCCTACAATCTCTTCTAAATGGTCCTTAGAACATATCCTGAAAGTTTCAGGGTGATTGCTCAAAAAATGTAAGAGAAGATAGATTTTTAGACTCGATTTTCAGGGCGCGCGATTGAAAATCGCTCGCGCAATACAATTACACATAAGCGCTGACCTTTGACCGGCAATATTTTCGGCTAGGAACAATATTTTTCCATGGGACCAAAAACAGCTGATATATATCACTCCCCTCCATCAGAAACAACTACAAAGTCAATTTCGAGAGAATTTTGATGAAGACCCCCCCGGCCCCCTTAAGAGTGAGTGACCCTTATATCGGAGTTGGGTAATAAAATTACCCAACAGCCTACAATTGGGTAATGTAGATTGTAGGCTGATATTTTCGAAGGTAGTCGTTTATTGATATTCTGACTACATCAGTGAACGCAATATTTCAAATATAATATACTAGTGAATTTTAATCTCATCTGTTCAATATAAGACAATGCAGTCTTTAGAAGATCATGTAATATAAATAACGCTGTGCAATAGTTAGCAATAAGGTAATGAAAATGAACGTGTGACCGTCCTCTTGAGGAGGATGGTATTAATTAATTTATAATAGCAATTTAGCCATCTCTTCTGGGAACCTTACCTTTAAACTGAACGAAATTATCACAATAATGACTGAAATCTAATGTTATTGCACTCTACAGGATGTGCAATTTTCTCACTGATTACAATTTCTTTGCATGCAACCCAGCAACTCATAACTTTTAACTAATATCATAATCTATAAATAGCTCCTAGCTATGTAGGTGAGGTACGTGATTTAATATCCTACAGAATCTTCACCTGAGTATTGGATCTCATTCCTCTAAAGTCATAAAGTATCCTCTAAGTCTAGAAGTAATCGGATATTGTTATAAACCCCCAGTCTAGTGAGCATGTACACCCTCGTCCCTCATTATTCATTAAAAACTTATGGTATAAACTGTGACATCGTCAACATGTGGCAGCATCAAAATGTAACATTGTCAAAGTGTGACAGTGTCAAAGTGTGACATTGTCAAAGTGTGAGTTGTGACAGTGTCAAAGTGTGACAGTGTCACAAGATTAACACATTGTTGAAATGTTTCACTCTAATCCCTCATTTTACCCTCGTCCTATCCTGATCGTAGTCAAAATATTATTACGCTACCATAGGAAGTATAGGAAGTATAGGAAGTATGTCCTGCAGTAGTTAAAGCTAGGAGTTAAGCCATTGACGTCATGCTGTATGATTAGCAGGGTAGTACCACTGTATTACACCATGATTGGTGATGTCTGTATAGTAGGGTTGTGGTGTAATGTCAATGACTAGTGTTGTACGTAGTATGTATCGTGTAGTACCATGTAACTGGATATTAGTGTATTAGTATTACCTGATATACACTACTCAGCACTGCTACAAGCACACATTTGAGAGGAGCTACCCGGAGTACACAATAATGTCATTAATACATAGAAACCGCTAGTAATACTGACTGCTGTAAGAGTCTGAGGGAACAAACCCTTCATCAGGTCAAGTATTGAAGTTAAAGCCACGTCTAAATGGACAGCATCAGTTAGATACAATATTCAACCGTTTAACTTAGCCAAATGTTGGCGGCAATAAACTATGTTGGAGGCAATCAGCTAGACGCTTATATGTATCATATAATGGAAATAAATGTGTGAAGCTTAAACCAATTTCAGTGATATAATCACTGCTTCAATTTTAAGGTTTTACCGTTTATTACTATCATTTATATTAGCGACAAGAGAAACGCCATTGTTGGACGTGAGGAGAGTGAGGACTCCTCAAACTACATTAAATTAATTCCTTCTGTAACTTCCTCAATAAATGTAATAGATTTGTAGTTTTGTAATTAGTTTAAAACTTATTTCACCCATTGGCATTGCTTTATTTTTCCCATCGTTGCTTTATTCCTCCCAAAGTTAAAATCCATGACCTAATTTCGGCTTGTCAACAAGGTTTTTAAAGAAGAAGCTGGGTGTTTCAGAGGATGAAGTCTACAATAATTAAGAAGCAACCAATTTAGGAAATTGTTTTGCTTCTATTATGTCCTTAATCTTTAGTATAATCAATTCGGTTCCACAAGGATATGCTTTGTAGGATCCTAGAAAAAAACCATCTCAGGAACATGTACCATATTCAACTTGTCAGCAACTTAAAGACGCTGGAAGAGTCAGAGGTGTCAATGTTGCTGTACCGTACTTCTGACAAGTCTCTAGATGATGTATAGTGTGTTGCAGAATGTCTCTCTTACTACTCTCCAGTTGTAGACTGTAGGGTTTAGGAATAACTATCGGCTGTAAATATTATAGTCTGTTTAATAGTATTACACTTGATATATCTACACTAAAGTCCCACATTGCTAACAATTATAGAGGTTACCTAGCTAATAGCTATGGGTTATATATCAAACCGTAGAACTGCGAAATTAGATGTGATGAAATGTTAATAGTTGGGCGTCTAGTGCCCTTAAATTAGCTCTGTGGAAACTTTACGTTCGCACTTCAAACCTTAATCTAGATATGTATCTATATATGTATCTAGATATGTATCTAGATACATAATATGTATTTATAGTCCGGGGAGATAATCTTGGTAATATCACACTTCTCGGTCCACAATACCTTAAATTAATAAAGTACACTTCTAGTTCTACAAATTTAATCCTAGCAACACCCAGGGTTAGGTTCTTAAATTCTTTAATTAAATCAACTTTAAAAGACAACTTACTAAAATTTTTAGAAGTGTTGAAAGTACCTATTAAAGCTAGCCCAAAATATTTTCTTAATAATTAAAGTATTCGAAAAATTGTTAAACACAATTAACTTAAACTATTTCAGAGCGAGTCGAAGAAAGCCCCGACAATGAGCACGTTCCTGTCCAGGATTGGTAGCTATAACACGGTCCTGCAGATGAAGAATAAAACAGACGGTGTAGGTTACAACTTACAATCTCCATTGTTAGATTTTACAAAAGGCCGATAGTGCACTAGGGTGGTCTGGATGTAAGCGTTGAATGGCATTATTGAAGTCTTGCAAAAAACATTTTTAACACATTAAATTTTGGTCAGCTATCTTAGGATTGAATAGATAAGTATAAATTTGGTTGAATAGAAAAGTATAAATTTGGTTTTAAAATCCATAAGCAAGCGGTTTTTACGATTATCAAGAAATTCAATTTCTTGATTAAGTAGTTGATATTACTGCGGAAATAAACGAAATTATCGTCCGATTCATCCAGGCACAAGTAGCAGCTTTTGGGAGAATATTGGACATTTTCGAAATTGGTGTTTCATCTATTTTGTAAGATCACACAATACATAGGTCACACAAATAAGTCATAATTGATAGGCAATCTAATATCACGGATCACCTGACAATCATGCCTTGTGAGGCTATAAAACCACAATTTTAGCCTTATTAGGTGTTATTGTCAAGAGATCGGTGCAACCTCGACCCTATATTGATTATGTGCGACAGATAAAGATTTTATAAAGCCCTTTCGTCGGATATGTAAGGCTTGCATCCTCAGCTTCGTAGCTTTGCTATATTATGTACAATTGCATGATTGCCTCAGAGACTCAATATGCACTTAACAGTGCAAGATTATTTATGAAATTACTCAGAAAGTAAGTTAGGGCCAAACTTTTGGATCACCCTGTACCACGCACTGTCAGGTCTGTGAATTGTGTAGTATGCATTATGCATATTATGCAATGCATATTATGTGCTCATTTCATATAATGCTCATAGGAAATTGCGGCATGACTTCCCGGAATGAATAGATTCTTCAGAGTTATTTGAACTGTCCGTTAGTCCTGTTAATCTAAAGCATTGCACTAACAGACAGAGCTTTGTAAAATTAAAACTAAGAAATTAAAACTTTTCGTGTCAATAGTTGCGATAAAAATGTGAACAGTTGCTGTATTACGATTAAAAAACAACTAAAGTGGCTGAAAACAGATCGTCTGACTGTCAATAATTCCCCTATTTTTAACCGTACTGATAATTATATATTAAAATAATAACCGTAAAAACTTGATAAGCCAAATAAAATGACACGGAAAAGATCAATATTATTAAGTTATTACCTTCCAAACTCAAAAGTTTGTTCCAATTTACTCTGGCAACTTCTTGAGCGGGGAATGTTCTTCAATAAAGCAATTCTCAGCCATATTATACTATTATAGCATCGAGTAGTACTCATTATATCAAGCATATTTATGTGTACATGATAACATTTGATATGACGTTTTGAAAGCTGAATCAAGATGTTACTCAATGACAAGCACAGTTACATGCAGGCTCACTATCTGCCTTGTAATTTTACTCATTAATTGGAGCGTGCTACAGAAATATCTTGCATTGTTACTACAGATTTAAATATTGTTGCACTCGATGGGGGGCATTGGTTTCAGCAGAAACTACACCAACATTGTTCTATTTATGTCAGGATGAAAACATGATAACATAAAAATATAATAAGATGCAAAAAATGAGTGGATGAAGACGTGTGAGTGGTTAGGTTTTGTTAGGGTTCTTAACTTGTTTTATTGATGAGCACTATTTATACTACAGCACGCTACACAGACAAGCATTATGCGTGTTTTATTGTCAATTCACGATGATAGTAATTTGACTATACGTGAAATTACTCAATATAAGATTCTAGGATTTGTTAACTCATCAAGATCTACTTATATCTGTGAGCTAGCTAGAGGTTAGCTAATAATTAGTTGTTGATAATTAGTTGTTAATAACTATTACTAAGCTGTTAATATGTACATCAGTGCATTTCTTTGTCACATCACAGTTAATATCACAGGTTTTATGCTTTAAACCATGTTGATTGTTGAACAAACATTGTCTGTCTGTGTTTACAGTGAATCATTATCAGGTGATTGAAAATTTCTTGATGTGAACTAAAGAATATGCACACTGCACTGTATTTCAAACAATGAGTCTCGCAAATTCAAATGTAGTATGAGGTATAGTTGCTTGTAATTGAAGCCGCTACGTCTTGCTACTTTATATCAAGAAAACTGTAGTTATATAGTTAGCAAGGAGAACATAGTAATGTGTTGACAATAGTAGAGCGTCATATACATGCTCTCTGCAGTGCACGGGTATACATTGTACATTGTGTACTCTCTGTGAACTTGTATGTATTTTCAATTAATCAGTTCTCTCCAGTAGGAGAAGCTTGTGTGGGGTATATTTAGTGGTAATGGGTCACGTGGTGTTGGGTCACGTGGTGTTGGGTCACGTACGTTTAACATGTTTGAAAATCTGAGAAGGTGGAAGTCTAAGAATTGACCGATTTTCGGTTAAGAATAAGATTAGAGTAGTTCTTCCATCCATGATTTATCATGGTGTCACCACCTTTTGGTTGCGTAATTTATGTGCGTTATAGTACGACTGTATATAATGCTGTATAATCCAATCGCAGGAGGATTTCACTCAAGCCATGACTACAAACTACAGTGTCCACCTTGACTCAGACTTTACTACATCTTCACCATGATATATGATCTTACGCCAGTCGCGATATGAATACTCTTTACAAATTACATGCAGTCGCCATACCAGTCATCATTCATCCGACCAGTATCACTGCCTTAGAAATTATATTATCGGCTCGGTATTTTCTGAATTCTGATCTGATTCTATAATAAGTCATATTTATAGAATATTCTAGTAGAATATTCTAAATATACTGATAAATCGTAATACAATAACTTGAGGGTCTAAGTTGACATTAATTATGCATGTCTGATTGATAATGAATAGAGTTAAAAATGTTGAAGATTAAAACCTCTTCTACGAAGCACGATGAGGCTTCCGACTTCCGAGACACATTAGTTGAAGAATTAACACCGGTCCCACAAAAGGCTGATATTTTTGATAACTTTCGTGGAGCGCGCGACGACAAAATTACTTCGAAACTTTTCATTAAGTTTACCCACCGTGACAGTGGTTGTGCCGCGCGCACATGTTCTCTTATGTATCGACCAGATCACGTACGTTCAGGCAGGATCGGCATAACTCCTTCATCAAATCAATTTTTAGAACAAAATTGAAATCAATTTGACGACTTCAAATAAATACATTTACTAATGACGATACAGAAGAAATACATTGAATGTATCTAGAAAACTTCAAGTCCTTCTCGCGTTTCTCTTGTGCAAAATATTAATTGGATAGTCCAGCTTTTAAGACCTCCCAAAACTTATACATTTTCTGATGAAGTTTTAATCTCAGGCAGATTTGTCAACGCTGATGGGTGTATATCTACCTTGTTTACAGAATATTTTCGGAGTTATTCTCTTTATCAGAATGCCATGGATTGTCGGGCAGGCGGGGGTTGTTCAGGCCTGCTTGATCATCGCAGTTTGCTGTCTAACCGTAAGTTCAATTCAGTTTACTTCTTAGGCTTAGGCTAGCATAAGAAAAGATATTGAAAAATATAAAATTCGAAATATTCGGCGCTATTTTCAGCTTCGTTGTTTGCCTTTTCACAACATCCATCTTGAATCTGAATTCTATCACTAATAACTAATTCAATGATGTTTTGCAGACGTTTCTGACTTCGGTGTCTATGAGTGCGATAGCAACTAACGGGGTGGTTCCTGCTGGTGGTAGTTATTTCATGATAAGTAGGACTCTAGGACCGCAGTTTGGTGGTTCTGTGGGCATTATATTCTTCCTGGGTGTTAGCTTTGCTGCTAGTATGTACATCGTGGGAGCGATAGAGATATTGCTGGTAAGAAGCCTCTGCTTGATCCTGAGTTTGTTTTAAGAAAAGTTCATTCGCCTGCTTCAACATTTATTCAAAAAGGATTCATTATATAAAATATAAATACTATAAAACTGTATTTCAGAATTACCTAGTCCCACAAATAATAATATTTGATGACATATGGCACAACATGAGGTTGTACGGTGAACTCATGCTGATACTGTTGACTTGTATTGTAGCTGTGGGTGTTAAACTGGTGAGCTCTTGTCAACAATATTTCTATTTATATCCATAGTTTACTTGTGCTATTTATATAAGATAAATATGCTCCTAAACTTCACGAGAGAGAATTGAGCCAAAAATTCGGTTTTAAAACAGACCGATTCCTCAGGTGAACAAGCTAGCGACCCTGTTTTTAGCCTGTGTGATTCTGTCCATCCTATGTATCTACGTGGGTATACTCGGGAGTCTGGGATCTGTAGACGTGTGTGAGAAGTCGGTTGAGTATAACAATGAAACCTTCAGCTACCTGCTCAAAGTGGGTAAAGACAAATTACTGCTAGCTGAGTGTGAGAATGAGACTTATGGTGGACATAGTAAGTTAACACAGCTAAATTTCGACCAATTGTAATAATGATCTAGATGAAGAAACCATGTCATAAACTGCCTTAGAAATCGTCATAATTCTATCCTTTGTCTAGCCCATCTTGTGAACTGAACGTACACCGATTGTGGCACAATTATCATAGTTAACAATCCCAATCTTCTAAATGAATCACATTAAATCACCCTCAGTCACGACTGGGCTGACAAATCTGCTGGATTTTGAGAACTTTAAAAGCAACATTGGACCCTACTACCAGGGTGCCGGAGATATAGCACCCGGTGTCCAAGTGGGAGATAAAGATACTCAAGTGTACAATGATCTGGCTACTTCTTTCACCATCCTTCTCGCTATCTTCTTCCCATCCGTCACTGGTTAGTTGTATGTTTTTGTGGCACAATAATATATTTCAAACACTTCCTTACGTCTGGCAACACAATCCGATTGCAGTCAGCAATTGATCAACGATGATAATAAAGCTCAGAGAAGACATATTATTAATTATATAACCCTCATTATATAAACCTCATATAACCACAACACAAATTCCACATTCCTCAGGTATAATGGCGGGTAGCAACAGATCCGGTGATCTAAAGAACGCACAAGGGAGTATACCCAAAGGGACGATAGCGGCTAATCTCACCACGACGGTCGTTTATCTTGTAACTGCTATTCTTTGCGGAGCTGCTGCCACCAGACAAGGTTACAAGCTTTTAACGATTTGTTCAATGAATTTGAAACAGCTGTTGTTACCTTTTTACGAATCGGCTCGTCAAATTATTTACTGATGAACAATTAGAAACTTCCAGTCGTCTAATATTAACTGCCTCCCCCTTAGTGTTGTGTGACAAATACGGAGAAAGTATTGACGGTGGTTTAGTAATGTCCCTGATAGCATTCCCTCACCCTTACGTTGTGGTGTTCGGTTGTCTCCTCTCCACTATAGGGGCTGCTCTACAGTGCCTGATCGGGGCTCCCAGACTCCTCTACGCTATTGCCGCTGATGACGTTATCCCCGTTCTCAAGTTCTTTAGCGTCACCCTTGAGAATGGTGAACCCTTCCGAGCTCTGATCGCTACTTTCTGTATCGCTAGTATTGGCTGTGCTATTGGAAATGTTGATCTGGTGGCTCCCATCATCACTATGTTCTTCCTTGTGTGTTACTCGTGTGTAAACCTGGCCTGTACTCTCCAGAGCTTGTTACAAGCTCCTAACTGGAGACCTAGGTTCACACTCTATCACTGGGCAACTTCTCTTCTGGGCCTTATCATGTGCCTCACTCTCATGTTCATCAGCAATTGGATATACGCCATTGTAGCCCTTTCCATAGCCGTGGGCATCTACAAGTACATAGACTTCAAAGGAGCTGAGAAGGAATGGGGAGATGGTATCAGAGGGTTGCAGCTTCAAGCTGCTAAATACTCTCTGCTATCTGCCGATCGGGAGTCACTGCACATCAAGAACTGGAGACCCCAGCTTCTAGCTCTCCTCTCCTACAAAGAAACACTGACTGAGGACAACCAGGGGCTTCTCTCTTTCAGTAGGAGTTTGAAACACGGTAACGGTCTGGTCATTGTGGGCACCGTGGTGCCGTATGATCTGATAAAGCTGCTTGATGATAATGATGTACTGGAGAAACAGAGGTCACTCCTGGAGCAGGGATTGAAGGAGCACAAGTTGGCAGGTTTTATTCAAGTCACGTGTGAAGAGAGCATTCCTAAAGGAACCACCACATTGTGAGTAAAACTCGGTGTGCTCGTTTTGTGACCGATTTAATATGCTTAGCTTTTTCAGACTTGTGTTTAGTTATTTATCTTTTTGGATATTTAAAAACGTAATCTTTAGAGGAGTTCAGGGGGATGATTTTGAATAGAGTTATTGAAGAGAAAAACATAGTGTATTTTCATATTAGTATCCAACTTTGTTTACAGGTTACAAACAGCGGGACTGGGAGGACTTAAACCAAACACCATTCTCATGGGTTGGCCGGAAAACTGGAAGACCAAAAACAGCTTCGAAAACTTCTCCCGAGTTGTCAGATGTGCAACAGTACTGCGACAGTCTGTGCTGGTAGCACGAGGTTCTTTCCCTCAGAGGAAACAGAAGTTAGCAGGAGGAACCATAGACGTGTGGTGGGTGGTGCATGATGGTGGGATGATGTTGTTAATCGCTCATCTAATTAAGCAGCATAAGACCTGGAGGAAATGCAGACTCAGGATATTCACTGTAGCTCAGGTATTTTAGAGTGGAAGGGGTTACTCTTTAATTAAGGGAGGGGTTAGGTACTGAGGGATTACGTTAATTGCCTTTTTTATTCAATTTGCTCCTCTTCTGAAGATGAGAGATCTTAAAATTATCCACAACAATGACATCCTAGACATATTCTAATGTTTCTGATACCATGACTAAAACCCCATTCAGTTGGAGGATGACAGTGTGAAGATGAGGAACGATCTGAAGAACATCTTATACGAACTGAGAATTGATGCCACCGTACAAGTTATTGAGATGGTAAGTTATCTAACTTTGCTTAAAACAACCTTTGTTTTTATCTAATACTTATTTTACTCCGGACATTCCAACAGCCATATTTGAGATATCATGGTAATTTATTACATTCACGCGTTGTTATTAAAACATTGGTGCCACTCGATAATTTATTTTGGCGATATATCGTTAACGTTGGTTCACATCCACAGAGTAACAAAGACATATCAGCGTACACATACGAACGTACTGTAAACATGGCTGAAAGGAACAAGATGATGGAATACATGGGTCTCACAAAAAGAGTAAGTCTAAGAATTCCTAAGATTAAAAGGCATCGTTTCTCTGCATAATCCATCACAGCAGTATGTGAGTTATCAATAAACAGCTGGCTTGTTGTTTACCCTAGATAGTGAGCGTCACAGTAACACACGGCCCACTAACAGCAAAAGAAGCGCACTCTCTCGTTCGTAGTTGAGTCCGCTCATACCCCGGGTACTAGTGGTATAGAGTTAGATCCTGCTCTCATGGAAGCAGAGGAAGTTCTCAACGAGATGGAGACAGCAACACAGCAACATGAAGGTGAGTTTAGAAGCTATCACAATTATGAGGACTCCAAAGTCTTCCGTGTGGTCATGTTAATGATAATTGAATAACGCTGCATAGAATAGATCTGCTTATACATGTTCAGACAACTGTGATTATCTGTATATTCATGATATCACACAGAAGTAAACGTAAGTGATTAAATCTCTTTGCCCGACCAAATTGTGATGTTGAAAATTGCGACTGTATGTAAACAAACAACCGAATGGAGAATGTTTTTGACCTAATTGTCGTGAAAGGGGAGATGACTTTTCAGCCCTCGACACACTGTGTTCAGCAATCAGTATGTAAAATTGTTAAGTGTTAGCTGTAGCATGATTTTAAGCTGTTTCACCAGGTGGAAGTCCGCTTAGTCCGTGGGGACATGTGCCTCTGATTACAGTTAGCAACTGTTCTTCAACTAGTTCATTAGCAGGTCCCGCGATAGTGGAACCGGAGGAGGAACAAGACAAACGTGAGTACCGGGACAGTGGGTTAACTGAGGGGAGCCGGGACAGTGGATTAACTGAGGGGAGCCGGGACAGTGGGTTAACTGAGGGGAGCCGGGACAGTGGGTTAACTGAGGGGAGCCGGGACAGTGGGTTAACTGAGGGGAGCCGGGACAGTGGGTTAACTGAGGGGAGCCGGGACAGTGGGTTAACTGAGGGGAGCCGGGACAGTGGGTTAACTCTGGGGAGCCGGGACAGTGGGTTAACTCTGGGGAGCCGGGACAGTGGATTAACTGAGGGGAGCCGGGACAGTGGATTAACTGAGGGGAGCCGGGACAGTGGGTTAACTGAGGGGAGCCGGGACAGTGGGTTAACTGAGGGGAGCCGGGACAGTGGGTTAACTGAGGGGAGCCGGGACAGTGGGTTAACTGAGGGGAGCCGGGACAGTGGGTTAACTGAGGGGAGCCGGGACAGTGGGTTAACTGAGGGGAGCCGGGACAGTGGGTTAACTGAGGGGAGCCGGGACAGTGGGTTAACTGAGGGGAGCTGGGACAGTGGGTTAACTGAGGGGAGCCGGGACAGTGGGTTAACTGAGGGGAGCCGGGACAGTGGGTTAACTGAGGGGAGCCGGGACAGTGGGTTAACTGAGGGGAGCCGGGACAGTGGGTTAACTGAGGGGAGCCGGGACAGTGGGTTAACTGAGGGGAGCCGGGACAGTGGGTTAACTGAGGGGAGCTGGGACAGTGGGTTAACTGAGGGGAGCCGGGACAGTGGGTTAACTGAGGGGAGCCGGGACAGTGGGTTAACTGAGGGGAGCCGGGACAGTGGGTTAACTGAGGGGAGCCGGGACAGTGGGTTAACTGAGGGGAGCCGGGACAGTGGGTTAACTGAGGGGAGCCGGGACAGTGGGTTAACTGAGGGGAGCCGGGACAGTGGGTTAACTGAGGGGAGCCGGGACAGTGGGTTAACTGAGGGGAGCCGGGACAGTGGGTTAACTGAGGGGAGCCGGGACAGTGGGTTAACTGAGGGGAGCTGGGACAGTGGGTTAACTGAGGGGAGCCGGGACAGTGGGTTAACTGAGGGGAGCCGGGACAGTGGGTTAACTCTGGGGAGCCGGGACAGTGGGTTAACTGAGGGGAGCCGGGACAGTGGGTTAACTCTGGGGAGCCGGGACAGTGGATTAACTGAGGGGAGCCGGGACAGTGGGTTAACTGAGGGGAGCCGGGACAGTGGGTTAACTGAGGGGAGCCGGGACAGTGGGTTAACTGAGGGGAGCCGGGACAGTGGGTTAACTCTGGGGAGCCGGGACAGTGGGTTAACTCTGGGGAGCCGGGACAGTGGATTAACTGAGGGGAGCCGGGACAGTGGGTTAACTGAGGGGAGCCGGGACAGTGGGTTAACTGAGGGGAGCCGGGACAGTGGGTTAACTGAGGGGAGCCGGGACAGTGGGTTAACTCTGGGGAGCCGGGACAGTGGGTTAACTCTGGGGAGCCGGGACAGTGGATTAACTGAGGGGAGCCGGGACAGTGGATTAACTGAGGGGAGCCGGGACAGTGGGTTAACTCTGGGGAGCCGGGACAGTGGGTTAACTCTGGGGAGCCGGGACAGTGGGTTAACTGAGGGGAGCCGGGACAGTGGGTTAACTCTGGGGAGCCGGGACAGTGGGTTAACTCTGAGGAGCCGGGACAGTGGATTAACTGAGGGGAGCCGGGACAGTGGGTTAACTGAGGGGAGCCGGGACAGTGGATTAACTGAGGGGAGCCGGGACAGTGGGTTAACTCTGGGGAGCCGGGACAGTGGGTTAACTCTGAGGAGCCGGGGGAGGGGGAGGTTTACATTGTTGAGGGGGTACTGGGTGAAAGTTGACGGGTGAGGTGGATACGGGAAGGGGAGTGGGTAGTTGGGCAGTTTTTTATGGAGTTCTTTGCGATTATTTAATCAGTTAGAAGGGATGGCTGGTTAAAGTAAAGTAAAAGCAAGGGTTTATCAAATTTGTTCATCGAGTTTACCTAGGAGAACCACCACGTCAACGTACTCACAGTCAAAATGTAAAATTGCGGCGCTATAAGGACAAAAAGAAAAGAGACAAAGATAGACACTGTAAAATAAAGATTGAGCCTCCGGATTAATCATAATTACCATAATTGGAAGACTACTTTCACTTTTCGGATCAATTTCAATATCATGACTCACCCTTTAACTGATTGACGAAATCAAAGTTCGAAAATAGTAACGATCATTACAACTACAGTTTTCAAGATTAAGAGCACATCTATCTGAAAATGTATCACTAATTTACAATTTTTATACAAAACAATAAATAAAGTAGCACACAGTTATACAATCTGTTATATTGCCAGTCAATTGGAGCTATGAAGTGGAACACAATCTGACTCACTGGTAAAAATCTGTCTTCACGAGGACACACTTTCAGTTTGACACTGCTATGAATGACGCTGTAGTAATGTTTTCGGGCATGAGCTTGCGAACTTTGAATGAGATTAGGAATAAGTACAAACATGCTTGAATAAGAATGAGTAAAGGATTGGGATATTAGTAGGAATGAAGCATGATGAGCCCGGTCTCTGAAACCACAGAGTTTAACACTTCCACGTATCAGTTACGGTAAGAAGGAGTCAGTTGAAGACGGACCAGCTGTTAGCGATGGACACTAGTGTAAAACTGAACGGTTTAGTCAGAGAACATTCCAGTGAGGCAGTGTTAGTGTTAATGAACATGCCTCCCCCTGTAACTCCTTTCGTCGACTCTATGACAGGTTCATATTCTTCAAATCTTTTACTATTTTGTTTCATGTGAAACACAAGGAATTATTTTCCTTAAAAGTTCTCTAGACTTAGAGTTATAATATTTGTGAAAATATTGATCCAGACTTATTTTTGCATTTATAATCTTGAGAATTGTCCACATATAATGACTCTAAATACCACCTTTACATTTCAGATCAGAACTATGTAGAGTACCTGGACGTGTTAACAGAAGGGCTCAATAGAGTTCTACTAGTTAGGGGATCTGGTACAGAGGTAGGATCAATAGGAGCACGAGGTGTACTTATTGAGTACATTGTGTACTTATTGAGTACATATTGTGTACTTATTGAGTACATATTGTGTACTTATTGAGTACATATTGTGTACTTATTGAGTACATATTGTGTACTTATTGAGTACATATTGTGTACTTATTGAGTACATATTGTGTACTTATTGAGTACATATTGTGTACTTATTGTGTACATTATGTACTTATTGTGTACATTATGTACTTATTGTGTACATTGTGTACTTATTGTGTATTGATGTATTTAGTTTTACGGGTAGCGTCTTCTATGGCCACGTTTCAGGTCAACTTTTGTTTCTTAAAAATCAATCGAGACTTTTTTGAGTGGCAGTTGATCGTCATAAACTTTGGTCCTGAACAAATCCAAACATTTTTATCAAGACGCTTACTAAATATTTTAATTCAAAGGGACACCTTTGAAACACTTTACAAGGACAGCATATAATTTTGAGTCGAGACTAACAAGTCCCAAAGACTGGCGAAGATCAATCTAATTAATATTAAATATTGCATAAATGAAACATTGAATAGCAGCAGAAGTCGAGTCCCTATTTAATTAGGAAGTTTGAGTCGTTAGCTGAAGTTAAGGAACTAACGTTCTTCTCCTGTCAAGACAGCTGCATGGCGCCTGGCTCTGGTAATTATTGGATTGTAATTACCAGGCTCAATAATTGTAGAACAAGTTACAGGTGTTACTTGTGACTTGTAGTGGTAATTAACATGATGAACCATGACGTGTTCCTACTCCTCCATCTGGCTAACTCACGATCTATACTAACGACAATTACTTCTATTTCTCCGGAACTGAAGATGAAATACTACAAAGGGTTGGGGCCGGGACATGCGTTGTCAGATTAAAATCTTAGACTGACGATGTCTCTCCGGAAATCGGAATGCAATAGGATCAGTTCCTGATCGGAATGCAACTTACCATACATATTATATTATTATCTATAATTTGAAAGAAAAATCGAACTGTTTGACCTATTTGTTAGATTTTAACGGCCATTCAGAATTTGGACACGAGTCTTTAAACACCCTGTAATTATCGCGAGGAAATAGCCCACTAATAGTAACCCCTCATTACAGGTAGTTACTGTGTATTCATGAGTGGAGCTAGGATCCAGTCACCAACACCCTCTCTGGATTCAGAGACAATTTGAAGTCTCATCATTCGCTAGTTACTCATTGTTTGTGTCGAGATAGCCTCAAATCATGGGCGGATCTCACTCATGCTTTCTTATTCAGATCAATATCGATTTCGATTTTATCAGTCAGTGACTATATTGAAATCAGGAACTTGTTTAGTGGCAAATATCACTTTATCAGTTTCGTCTATAGATATCTGGAAGGGCGAACCATATTTGTTTTGATTTGTGACAGTGATTTTGGGTTTTGATTGGCTAATCGCTGTCGACGCATCAGGAAAAATATGGTTCGCCACCCAGTCTATTGGACACCGTGTAGATAGTGATTCATTATGGATGTCCATTATTGTATTGTTGATTTTATATTATTAGGCTAGGCTGAAAGTGAAAACCAAGACGATTGCTGGTTTATTGTATACTTTGTAATTGTAGCTTTTATTTTGTAAGCACGATCAAAGGTGATTGTTAATTTTAAAATGTATAATTTTAAGAATAATATTATTATCATAAATTAATTATTTTTAGGGCTAGGGTTTTTACTGGTACCTTTTTAGAATTCCACCCGAAGAATGTTGCATCGTTATTAGAATAGTATTCCTGTATTTGTAAATTGTACATAACCGTCCCACTTTATCATACGATATCATTATGTAAAATATTCTTATGTTATGGTTGTGTTAATTTTGGTGTTTTGGAAGAACTCTGAATCTGCATACAAGCTTATAGGATCATGTTTAGGATCAGTATCTATATTTATACGAGCTTGAAATCATTGTAAAAAGTTATTGTTGATACCATGTATTAAAAATCACTGTCATGAGAAAGCAATTGTTTGAATTTCTTAACTTACGACTCAAACCATTTTTAAACAATGGCTCCTCGGAGGTGGCAATTCTTAGATATTCGGAAAATATATTGACGGTAAGCCGGACGAGAAGAAATCTAGAAACATAACTCACACTGCCCTAATATCTCTTGAGATATCATTAATATATATCCACCGTGGCTTGGTTTTTTGTCTTTACCTCCCCAACGACCTTCTTTTTCCCATTACATATTAAGCATGAATCCTAATCCTAAATAAACGGATTGTACCCAAGATCCTTGATGTCTACTGGCATTGCAATTATTATTATTTATTTCTCATGATCTCATCAGCTATGACGTTATCCTCAGCTCTTAGGGCTAAGGCTTCACGTCACTGTAGCCTGAACACTGAAGCTCACTGTGAATTGTGATACAACTACTAGGTCATGAGGCACGATGCTCTGGGGCTGATGAACTTGGGCATAACATTCTGGTGCCAACACGTTCGATCTTGGGCAGTAAGTCAAGGAGGTTTAAAATTTTGCGTCCAAGGTCCTGGGTACTAGGATCTGAGCAGGACGAAGTGAATCGATTCGAGTAAGCAACTTGTTAAATGTCTTAGCGTCACTCTTGCGTTTAAACAAAGGACTCATGTAGATGGCGACATTTAAATATCCAATGATACGGTTAAGCAAGATAATAGAAATAAAATTTAACTGACGCTGCCTAGCTATATTTTTAGAATATTAGGTCATATATTATATATCCGTCTTATCTTTGCTTTTTGCTTTGTCATTGTTCGCTCCAACGAACTGCTTTCCCAATTCCGTTTTAATTCTGTAAATCCAGAATCATTGGAATCTACTTCAATTTTCAAATACTAATGTTATCCTGGGCAAGCTATCGGACAGTACAGTTGGTACAACAGAGGGGATCCCGCAGAACCTTTTTAAGAGAGGCTGAACCTAGATGGCCCACAATTGGATAGCATGCAGGGTCTGCGGTTCCCGAATTGTAGGTCAAAAAATGTTTGTAGGGGCGCCAAAAATCTTTCGGGGGGGGGGGGGGGGCGTCTTAAATATAAACGTTAAACTTAAACCACTTTTCTCGGACGGCATAGGTACAGTTGTCTCCGAGTGCTTCTTGTCAAAAATTTTTAGTTACAACCTTGGTTTGTAGTAACATAGCAGGAATTGTTTATTAATTCGTTTTGATGGTTCCGCCTGGTTGCGTATTTTGCACACTGCATTTACCTATATTATATGTAGTATATTGCCAAAGTACCGCTGTATCTTATTTAGTTATTTCACTTATACCCACCACAATGAAATGACAAATATCCCCTCCCACAACTGTAAATAACAGAACACTCAACACAGACCCTCCTCTGTCAAAATGAGGATGTACCGGTATAATGACTTAGTTGAAAACACCAAACGCTGGTGTTGGTGCCCAACATTCCTGTTGCCACGTATTTTAATCCGTCAGCTGTTCAGCTGCAAAAATAGTCACATAACTGAGCATGAGGTGGCCTGGTCATTTGATCAGACCCGTTACTCGTCACCACCCAAAGGAGTGACCATTGGTGCAGCCCCCTGTATTTAATCTAGTTGGTCAAGTTTGGGTGCTTTTCTACTCCAAATTATGTGATTCGTTAAAATTATATTCAATAGTTATGCTCTTAGTCGCATGAAAGTGACCATGACACATGAAACAGTTCTCATTAATATAGCAAAAAGTTAGAGCTATAGTTTTTATCGATTATAAATGCGAGAGCGCCATTAATGTGGGACAGCTTTGCTCCTATGTCGTGAGCCGTTACCTTTTGACGGCCCCGTACTGATCTTTTTATTGAATATGATAGTCCGAGTCGACCCCTGCCAAATAAGCCAATAACATCACATTGGCCATATTGTTATCCTAAATTAGTCTGAGTCATATTTTGTGATAACTCCTGACTGTGATCCAGATACAGCCGTATTTTGGCTCTACGATATCAAATTTAAAAGGTTGTTATTAGGTCATGTTACGGATAAATATGAGTCATTAGAGACAAATAAAAGGGTTGTATGCATCTCTTCTCCGCGACTATGACACTGTAGTTATAACTTATAACACTATATTAGCTTCATCTATTTTACTGCTATGTTTTATTTCTTATCTAGAATATAGTTATACCCCTGGGAGTGGGATATATAAATATTGAATATTATGAGCATTGGAAGTAAGACTAGTGACTATTCTTTTAATTTTCGATCTGATCTGCCTAGCAAAACCGGCCAGCCATGCCCAACCCATTCTCAGATGATGTTAGAGTTAAGTAGTATTATAACCCGCCATAACCAGTAAAATTATACCCTGTTATCGATATTATCATTATTATGCCGTTTAACCGACTCAGCTCCTGCTGCTTCGTTATCAGTGGGCAGCAAGTTATTATTAGATTATTTTCTGGTACACTGCGGCGTTTAATACTTATTACTTCCATGGAAACTGTTCTGCCCATCCTAACTAAGTTATGCATTCAAGAACAATAACTATTAATAATAACATAGAATATTATTTAATTAGTCGTACGTATAGGTATTATAAATATATATTTATTTTTTAGATATCATTAAGCATAAGCAGTGATACAACGTATCTCGGGATGATCCGCAGAGTCTCGACTAGTTTCGGCTTACCGCCATCAACAGGATCGATGAATCATCTAGCGGGAAATTTGAAATCAATTATCAATAAACAACATTCCGAAAGTATAAAAGTAAAATTCAAAAGAAAAAGTCAGTAGGAAAATGTACGAAGTAGGTAATGTAAATAAGGTAACTACTGTGAAAGCATGGAGTGGGCCAAAACAACTACAAAACGTGCAGAGTAAGACTGAACTGAGATAGGAAGTTAAAAGGAGGAAACACGTTCGCAAGCAAAAAGTACACTTTACTGCTAATAACCTAAGAGAGAGTGTGTGTAAGTGTAAAGGGTAAAAATAGCCAAACATCGGACCTAATTCCCGGTAACTTTGCTCCTATTTAACCCAATAATCCTCGCTTTAAATTTCTCGATATAAATATCTTCAAACATGTTAAGTTCCTCTCTACTACATTGTTTAATAATACCCAAATTAAAATTGCTTAATTTCTCAGAAAGTTTGTCTTGGTGCATTTCAGATATGTGCATGGAAAGGGCCGATTTAGTGTAACAAACTGGTTTAAAAGCTGCCCTGTGGCTGTTCATTCGTGTGCTTAAAGTCAACCAGGTTTGGCCGAAATAAAAGCCACTATCGCACAGTTTACATTGGGCTACATAAATCACGTTTTCATTACTACAGTTAAGCCGCATGTCAATTCTGATAATCTGTTTGTTAACTGTCAAAGTACCATTTGCTGTTCCACTAGTTAGCTTGCATGTAAGACAGCGAGGTCTATTGCAAGCTTGTGATGTTATGTCCGCCGTATTGATGGAGTTGGGTGCTGAGTCAGCAGGTGTTGTCGCAAATCTCCGCCTCTTGAACATTTCATCTGCGATGTTGTTGTCCCTTCTGTGAGCTATTGTTATGGATACCTGCTTACCAATGATATGCTCAATAGTTTGTTTCTTATCTTCAAGGAAGCTCCTGATTTCGTTGAGTTCCTTGCAGTACTGTGTTGAGAGGATCAAGTTGCAGTGTTCACTATTTGGCATAGACTCATTGGTATTCTCCCTCGGTGTAAGGCGTTGATCCCGGTTAACCAGACTAGCTTTGGTTAATGCTGCCTTAAGTTCTGCATCCCTGTATCCGCTTTTCTTGAAGTCTCCCATAATCTCTTGTGCTGCTTCCATAAAAGTGTCCTCATCTGAGCATATGGTTTTTGTTCTTAGAAGTTGTGAGTAAGGAACGCTTTTGAAGACATGAGGAGGATGGTGACTGTTCCTCTGTAGAAAAGATCTGTTATCAGTAGGTTTCTTGAACAGAGAGGTAGCCAGAGTTACTGGTGTGTCGTGTTCTGGATCTGTTATCCTGACCTTAACATCCAAGAAGCTTAGCTCTCTACCTCCATCCCCTGTGAACTCTATCCCGTAAGTTGATGACTCACTGTTGAGTTTAGAGACGAAATCCTCAAATTCCTCTTTCGTACCTCTCCATATACCGAAAATGTCGTCGATATACCTTTTCCATAGTCTGATGAGTACATCCCACTCTGGTATTTTAGATTTGAGATGTAGTTTGAGAAATTTGAGGAATGTGTCAGCCAAAGGTCTGGATATGGAGCCGCCTGTTGGTACTCCTTTGATGGCTTTGAAATACATGCCTCTGTACTCTAGAGTAGAGTTTTGAAGACAGAATTCGATGCATGGGAGTATGCCGCTTCTGATTTCAGGGGTTAGGGTTCTATCCTCTTCCAGTGCTGCTTTGACTGACTGTAGAACGATGGTCTGGTCCATGCTCGGGTAAAGGGCTTTCACGTCTAGAGTATAGAGTAATTCGCCTTCTTCTATTCCGACTTCTTTTATTTGGTGTAGGAAATCGTTTGTATCCTTGATGTATTCATCACTAGCATAGTTACGTGAAACTTGGCCGAAGTGGTGAGCAAGGAATTGTTCAAGCCTGGTTGTTGGAGATTGGGTAAGAGCGTGTACTAATCTCGATGGGGGAATGGTCCTGTCTAGGATTTGTTGGGGGTCTAGTTTGTGGATCTTGAATAGTGGGTATGGTATTCCTGTCCTTGTCTTAAAACAGGTTTTTCTCATTTTCCCTCCTCTTTCTGTGTACCCTGTAATGGTTTCTAAAATCTTGTTGTTGAAAGAGCCGTTATTGATTAGATTTTCAATAAGCAACTTCTGGTTTTTAAGAATTCCATCATTAGGGTCTTCTGGTAGACTGCTGTAACCATCTGATTTGCTAAGTTCAGCTCTTATAGCTTTATCCACATCCTGGGGGTTCATCACAAGGACACTTCCTCCTTTATCAGCTCTTGTGAAAACCAATTTACCAAGGCGCATCATGCTAGATTACACCAGTTTTGGCCTCTAGTTTCCG